CCCCAAAACCCCAAAACCCCAAAACCCCAGAGTCCGAAATAAGTGCAAGAATATGTTCTGATTCTATTAAAAGAATGAGAATTTCAGAATATTTTAGTTTGATTTTATTAATAGAGCCTATTTATAGATTATAGTTTATTCTAAGACATATAATTATTTTAAAGGTGAAATTTTAAATATCAATCGACTAATGGATTAATCGAATACATAGTATCTCAAATAATAAGAATACAAGATGAAAGGATCAAAGAATATGCAACAACATAGAATGATTTCGATAAATTCAAAATAAATTAAAAAAAGTGATGCTAATATTCCGTAAACTTTGTTAGCAGCATATAAGTCTGAATCAGCTGATACTAAATATAGAGCTTAAATCCCTAGAGATTCATAAATTCCTCTATCAATGCTTCTTAAGAGTCAAAAATTAGAAAATAAGTTAATCGGAAGAAATAGTTAACAGCTAAAGTTCAGGTAAAATAATGAAGAGTACTCAGAGGACTCGACTAGCAGTTTATCCATCTCTGAAGAACAATAAAATCTATAAATAGGTTCAGATCCTAATACAGATACCAGTGCCCATAATAATGACTAAAAGACAGACAATGATTCCCTCGATTAGTAAGCTATCTCTGATTAGAGCTAGTTTCATATGACTCCGAGTGATATGTCACATTATAATGAGGATTTATAGGTCTTCTATATAGAACCAATCTCATTCCTCCCTGGGCTTCCCACTTCTTATAAGATTTTAAACGGAGAGCCTATTACTTTTAATTCACACTTAAAAGAGATAATGAAATATTATGATATTTTACCTGTTCCAAGATCATTACTGGGAGGAATTCAATTACCTTAGCAGGGAAAATTTTTCCTGGTAAGACCCTAAAACCCTGATTAATGGTGGTAAGAAAAATCCAACACAAACAATGGAATCAGCAACTTCATTCAGAATCATAATTAGTGATTCTGATCTACTTCTCTTTTGAAAAATATCGAATCTGATATTAAATTACTCGGTTTACTTAAAAAAGTTGATTCATAACTTATAGACTATAAATAAAGCTTGCAAATAATTCAGAACTATTTTTGACTTCATGTTTTAATAATGTTTCAACTTTAATTTTCACAAGAATTATTCATAAACTTTCATACGGGGTTTTGGGGTTTTGGGG